CCAAGTTTATGCCGTTTTGAATGATTTTTGTCAAACGACCAAAAGCGAAAGATGGTTTTCGAAGTGTTGTTGTTGGAGAACCGTTTAAACATGCCAAAGAGTGAAAAAAAATCATAAAAAGTTGAAAACCACTCGGTTGGTTTGGACGCCAAAAACCATAGCCAATAACCGAGAGCCGAACGCCGGTTTCTGAAACCCGAACGCTGGATGGCTTGGTTTTTGGTTTGGGCGAACACCAAGTGTTTTTAATGACTTAAACAAGTTTGAAAAACATTTTTATAATGTAAGAAATGCAGTAAAAGGTTTTAGCCTAAAGAGCCAATGCGTGAGGGTTGGTCGGTCTTGATTACAATTATGACCGACTCAACAATACTAAAGACTGCGGTCTTCGTTCTTGGTCTCTTTTAGCTCTTGTTCATTATCTTCGTTCCTCGCCTTGTATATTCAATGTTTGTCTTGATCACGGTGGTTTGGCATTATTAAAACCTGTCATAAGCCCGTGTTTCAACATGGGCTTGTTATGCCCAACTTCTTTGCACCCGTAACATTTGGGTGGTCCTCTTTGTGTCGTTCTATTCCGTTCATACTCTTTTTGCATGACCTTGTGGAATTTCTTGATAATGAGTTTGAACTCGTTATCCTCATCGCTTGATTCCTCCATGACTTGTTCTATAACGCCCTGCGACCCGGTCTATTAGAATTGATTAATTTAACTAATTAATTACTTACTCAGACCGGGGTTGGGTAAATAAAATCCTTAGAAAAATTATTTGATCACGTCATAATATTCATCTTGACTGTCTAATTCCAGAGACGCAAACGGATCTCAATTCGGACCCGTTTGGGTGAAAAAGCGCGTACCGTTCAGGTCAGATTTTAACACAACGGAATGAATTTTAGGGAAATAACTCCCCATTTAATCTCTTCAATTCCCACGCCACACACACCCTTCATTTCCCTACTTTAATACCCCATCAATATCCTATTAATTCCCTTAAATAAATTAGGCTCCTCCCCTCCTTCTCCCTTAGCATGTTGTAACTCCAAGGGCATTCACAAACTCTCTTCTTCTTCTCCTTGCATTTTCGGCCAACCCACAGCAGCTCAAGGAGGTGATTCCGGCGAGTAGACGGGGAGGTAGAAGAGAAGGAAGTTCACGCGAGACGCCGTTCATTTGTTCGTTCGTTCGTTCGTAGTTATCATCCATTCGTTCATCCGATACTTTCCGTCAATCCCTGCGTTAGAGGTGAGTACGTTGCCCTCTAACTTTAGAATTCATAGTTCAATCATATCGTTATAATCATAGGATTACTCGGCTAAATCTACGTGTGTCCACTTTATCATGGCGTTTCGTTATTCAGACTCTTCGATTGCAAACTCGTTAATATAAACGTTTTGGAACTCCATAAATTCATAGCTTATTTACTGTGAAAACATAAACGTTCATTCCGAAAACTTCCAAAGTAATGATTGTAATCAAACAGGCAAAATGAGGAGCTGTGTGCCATGATAATCGAGTTACATGACTAGACAATCGATTATCAGGCCGCGCTGGACTTCTTGTTAGAATCGGCAAGGTATGACAATCGATTATCACACAAGTGATAATCGATTATCAGACCCTGCGGATTCCTGAGTCAGGGCTGGTTCATTTGATAATCGATTATCACAGAAGCGATAATCGATTATCCGGCATCTCTGAACTTAGGATTTCATGGACAAATCAACTTGACAATCGATTGTCATAAGGTGACAATCGACTATCACAGACTGCAGAGCTTTGGGAACAGAAGCTGCACAGCATGATAATCGATTATCAACAATGGATAATCGATTATCAGCCAGTTCTAAACCCAGGGCCATCATGTTGACAAATCGTTTTCATACCGAATCAAACTTATATGTATGCGTTGAACTTAACTTCATTCATCAAGCAATGCATTCATTTCATCGTGTATATCCTAGACGCATGTTTAGGATTATGGCATACTTTGCATACCGCGACAAGAGGTCAGGCCGAGTGTGCCTCTTCCGCGGGCCCATCCAGGAGCATGCGGGATCCAACGGGTTCATCAGGAGGGCTTGTGTAGTACGTACATGGTAGCTAGGCTTTCAGCTATCACCCACATTATCTAGTCTCCATCGGGAAGACTAAGGCATTCCTCGGCTCATCTACCGCGTGGGGATGATCACCGAAGGGCAGGGGTCCCTGCGCAGTCTAACTCATGCATCATGGATTATTTGGCATTGCATCATTGTTTATTTGTGAACTCTTATTTACCAAAGTTGTTTGTGGTATCTCGTACTTTAGTACAGGTACCATTATGTTTAGATTAATGTGAATGCACTATGCGTTCTACTGTTAGATTACCACTCAGCTTTTGCTGAGCGTATGCCGTTGTTTTTGCTATACGCAGGTAGGCAGGACGATCATGGAGTACTTGAACCCACCATTGTCGCCACGGATCGCCAAGGTAAAGACGGCTTTCATGGTTTTTGACCAAAGACCAAAAACCAAAGGTGGTTTTTAGAAAATAATAGTTTGGAAACCTTTTAATATCCCCAGAAGTAAAAACAAGTATTAAAAGTTGAAAACCACTTGGTTGTTTTGGATGCCAAGAACCAGCGACGAAAACCGAACGCCGAGCGCCAAACGTTATAGTTTTTGGTTGGGCAATGACCAGTGGTTTTTAAAACTTAAAACCATTTATGAAAAACATTTGTTTGATGCATAAAAGTAGTTTCCTGATTTTAAAACACTTATTTTTACTTCCGTGAACCAAGACTTGATTTGATTGTTGATTTTTTATCACAATAAAACCGACTCAACCAAGTCTTCAAATCTGATCTTGTTCTTGATTCTCTTGCATCTTGTGACATGCCTTATTTTACGCCTTAAGTTGTTCAACGAATTTCTTCATATCCACGGTGGTTCGGCATTTATCAAAATCTATCAAAACAGACACAACTTTAGTTCAACTCATTTGTAAAGTGTGTTTCAACAAATGTAATTATCCTTACGACCTATTTAGGGTTTCCCCTTGGGTGTATATATAAAGAGGTCATTAGGCAAAGGTTAAAACACCAATTTTACGCCTTCCCTCTGCCTCTCTATTTTCGTGAGTCTCATCCTGACCTTAGCCATCATAACAGTACACCCTAAACGTGAACTCGATCTACATCAGAATCATGGCCTCATCCCTAACTACGTTCACAAGATTGTAAGGTACACTTGATTTAATTTTTGATTTATATTTTATGTTTAAGAATTGATCAAAACATCCAACTTTTGCTTTAGAAGTACGAAGTGTCAGGCTGAGTTCCTACACAGATAGTTTTCAACCTTTCGGACAATTGGGTTCTCAGTACTTTTGTTTTCCCGTAATGGTTACTCTAGTAATATTAGAGTCTATTCTTTAGAGCTTAAACTCTTAACTTTCAATTTCTACGAGTTCCTTCAAGTTTATTCCAATTTTTTCCAAGTATTCTAATTTCCTTCATACTCTTTCTACTCTCCAAACAATTACTCTAAAAATGATATATTTTTAATGTGATTATTACGATGATAATAATAATAATAAGTATTATCTTCATTATTATTATTATTACAACTATTATGTTCAGAACTATAGTTTATATATTATTTTTTAAATTTTTTCATGTCACAATATTTACGATTCGCACTCTTCTAAATTGATATTAGGATTACATTTTTCATTTTTTTATAAAAAATTTTGAAAGTCAAAACATTTTAGAGAAAAATAGTAAACTATGAGTAAAACATAAAAATGTACCAAATATGAGTTCTATATTTTTATTCCCAAAATAAGAGTTACAATACAAATATAATGTCAATCATGAAAGAAAAAATAGATGTGATCACATTATGTGACAAGTTTGATATGTAAAATAAAATCTTGTAATATATAAAGTGTAATTACAAATATTATTTTTATAATAAATACTGAATAAATAAATTGAGGTGCAACGTAACCACGATAACGTTTTTTAATCTAACATTTCAATATTTATGCTAACTTTACAGTCTAATTAATTTTTTTTTGTGAAAGTTGATTTTTGTATATGAAAAATGACAATTCTTTTTTTATCTTAATAATAATAATAAATTATAACAACAACAATTAGAATGAGAATAGTATAAAAATAAACTTAAATAATTTTTTTTATTGTTTTTTAGATTTTCCAATCTTTTCCAGTTTTTCTCGTTCCATCTAATTTCTTTCAGTTCCTTCTAGTTTCTTACAATTTTTGTTCAGTTCCTTCCAGTTTTTTTCAATTTTTTCTAGTTCTTCCAGTTCCTTTCAGTTTCTACCAATTTCTTCCAGTTTCTTCCAACATCTAGCTCTTTTTTCTAGTCCTAAAGAAGAGGTCCTAAGTTGAATTAATAAGTCGAACATAACAGAAACATAGTTTGATTATAAAATTAGTCAGATAGAAATTGTAATTTACAAACTTTTAAAAAGTAAATTTCCAAAACGATTATTTCAAATAATGTTTTTTCTCAAACTAGTCCTTAATAAATAATACTTACCAATGTGGTCATTTATAATTGAGATGTACTACAAATTTTTAAAATAGTCCTCTGTCAAAAATGTCTATTAAATATGAGTCAAATAAAAAGTATTTTGGTATTTTCTATCATCTACATTTAAAATACTTTCTCAAAATGTTCTTTTATAATTAAGTATGTTTTCAAAATAATTAATTCTAAATAAATATTTTCTCGAAATGGGGTCCATGAGCCTATCTAGAGAATTTCGGGATGAATCCGTTCCTCTAACAGCGTCTCACTTAATTTGAAAGGGTCATTTTGAAAATTTATTCATATTTATATGATGAAAAATATCAAAACATTCTCTATTTAATTGATAAATGACTATTTAGAGAATATATCTCAATTAAACATTTTTGATAGAAAATTATTTAGAAATTACATCTTAACTAGTAAAGATAACATTTATAATTAATAGTGTGTACTTATTGAGAATTAATTTGACAAAACATCTGATTTGAAAGGACTTTTTTGACTTCTAAATATTAACTTATTTTTAAATTTGAAAAATCATTTCACGCCACTGTCTCGTTCACTTCAACCCCAATTTCTTTAGGTTTTCTAAATTCAAAACCCTGTGGCATGTTCTTCAATCTTGAGTAAACCCACTGCTACTGCATGAGTCAAGCGAATATACTGATACCTCACCACCCTTCCATGGATCCCGACAATGGCCTGGACCCGATTAGCCTCCATCAGACACATTCGAGCGAAAACGATTCAGGAGCTCCCGAGCTTTCTCCAGATTCCGGTAAAAAATGGCCAACCATTCCGACTCCGAAACTGCCTCCGTTGAACGAGATCGGTTGGCCCAGTGTGTGGCTCCCGCCCAAGTCTGAACCGCGTGTGTTGACCCCGGAAGAGCAGGCCCGTCTGGCCGATGACCAGGAGCAACAAGCTGCATTGGATGTTGTGATTGAATTTCTCAGGAATCAAGATGTTGCAGAAGAGGAGGACGACGAAGAATACGATGACGAGTATGTAGATGCAATCACATATGAGAACGGAGACATCTATGATATGATAGAGGAAGAGGATAAGAAGAGGTTTGATTTTTTTGAGAGACTGTTCGAGGACAGTCAATTGATGGAGTATTATGAGAAGAACTGTGCGAATGGAGAGTTCAGGTGCCTCGTTTGTTTTGCTGTGCTGGAGAAAGGCTGGAAGAGGTTCAAGGGCTGCACCTCTTTAGTGCATCATTGTCTTTCTATTGCAAAGACGAGAAAGAGGAAGGCTCATCGTGCTTATGCTGTGTCCATTTGTAAGGCACTTGGGTGGGACATCAATAAGCTTATTCACTCTTCTGATAAATCTTCTGATGCTCTGGTAATTAATTTACTCAATCTTCAATTACCTTGCATAATACGACTAAAAGTCTTTCAACTTTGTTCTGTAATTTTAAAATGAATTAGTACCTCATTATGATTCATGGGCTGAGGCTCATACTATGATTCCATTTAATGCTCAAACTACTATGGTAATAAGCTGAATATAGGACTGGCAAGTCTGTGGAGAGTGACAAGTCATAAAGTTATTTGTACTTGCTAAAATAATACACATAGAAATAGAATACATAAATGTTTTTGAATATATTATAATAGCATTGCTTTGGAACAATTATGGAATATGCAAATAACTGTTGCATCATTTGCTTGGAGAATTTGATGGCTACAGGAAAGAGTTTTAGATGCTTCTGGAAGTGCGAACCTTGTTATTGTTATCATTGGTTGCAAGAACACTAAACTGCTTCTATCAATAAAAACCTACTACGTAGTGGTGTAAGAATCTTCACTGTCCAAGTTTAGTTGGTGTTTGGGAATAATGGTCCAACACAGCTTTAGTAAGATTAGTCAGAATACAAAATAAAAATTAATAAAAAGATGATTTTACCGAAGAACCCAAATATACTAAATTAGGGAAAATAGGGACTGTTGGGTGATGTCAAGCAAAGGGTTTCACTATATTGTTGCTATAGTACATCTACCTGTACATGAGAGAGCTCTCTTTTGTAGTCAACTAGTCATTAATGATGTTTTCCTGGCATTGTCCTATGGCGAAGAATGGAAGCAATGTTCACGAGAAAGAAGAATTGGTTTGTTACTTGTTAGGTTAAAAGTGGGGTTCTTGATTTTTGTCATGTTACCATTTTCTTTTGTATGCTAAATTTTACAATCAAGGAAAAAATAAAGTGCTTTCCCTTTACTCAAATTGGCAATCTAAGCTGATTTAATTTCTTGGATGGCTTCTGCTCTCATTTTCCATTCAATATTCATATATTATTGATTTGCTTGGATTGTTAGATCAGAGTTCCCCATTTTCTTCTGCTCTCATTTTCCATTTTCTTCTGCTCTCATTTTCCATTTTCTTTTGTATGCTAAATTTTACAATCAAGGAAAAAATAAAGTGCTTTCCCTTTACTCAAATTGGCAATCTAAGCTGATTTAATTTCTTGGATGGCTTCTGCTCTCATTTTCCATTCAATATTCATATATTATTGATTTGCTTGGATTGTTAGATCAGAGTTCCCCTCAGGTCTTCCAAATTCCATTGTGTATGTGGTTGATTGAGGATGGTTGACCTACAAGATTTTGCCCAATTATGCCACACTCACCTGCCATAGGCCACCATTTGCTACAAATTTTCATGGCTGGCGCCATAGTGGTGGGCTCACAATCTGCAATGCCATGGATGCTATTTAACAACACCGATAACACTAGGGATTATGTGTGGTCGGATTGGATCATATTGTTTTTATTGGTTCAAATTGTAACTAATTTATCTTATTGCAGGGTAACATTGACAACACCTGTAAAGAGGATTTGAACCTCTTTGGCAATAAGGTGAACCTTGTTGATGATAATACTGGTGAAGAAACTGTTCAAAAGAATTCTAATAACAATGGAAGCGAGAAGAAAAAAAGTGGTGGTGCAACTGAGGTATTGCAGGCTAACAATTTCTTTTTCCACCTGTTTCATTGTATTTTTGTGCGCTTTCATTTGCATTGATAGTTTATAGATTTGATATTAAGTTGAAATGTTTTGATAGAGCATTTTGTCGGATGGTGACAATAGCAAACATGTTGAAGTTCTCAGCAGTGCTCAAGATGTGGAAACTGCTAATGCAAAGGACTTTCTGAAAGGCCTGGTGAGAAGCAGAGGGCTTTTTGTTTCTAAAATTGTGCTATTTTATCCATTTCCTCATGCCCACTGCTTATTAATTTAACTTTGTCAGACGTCTTAGACAGTTGGAACTATATTACTCCCGTCCCAAAACAAGATTAATATTTCAAATACTGTTTTTTGTCCTATGAACGAGAATTCAGTTTCAAAAGAAGCTAATACACTGTCACAAGACTTCCAAAGAAAGTAACAAGTTACATATGATAAATTTAGTTTAATCGACAAATAAGTTAGAAAAGTAGTACTTTCTCCATCTCCATTTTATGTCCACATTTGATTTTGTACGTTTTTTAAGAGAGTAGAAACGATGTGACTGGGATATTTTGAAGAGAAACAATACCATATTACTAAGTGAATCCTTTTCTTAAAAGGAACAAGTAGATTATTTTGGAATGGATATAAATGAAACAATGAAGATATGAGAGAGATGCTTAGCAGTTTAATTCATGATTCATGACACTTGTACTTGATAAGGAGTACAGATGCACAAGGAAATAAAAAGAAATTTATAATAAATTAATAAACAAATAAAGAAGACAGAAGAAGAGTTTCAATGTATATTAAATTAATAAACAAAAAAGAAGACAGAAGAAGAGTTTCAAGGAAGAACTCTCCAGCAAGCTGCTCCTTTACTACAAACAAATGCCCACCTCATCTCAAATGAGGACCCTTATTTATATGTGATAATCAGATATTCCTGATATAAGTATATAACTTTAATCAGATTTAATAGAATCTCTTACTAAGCAAATCTGATTTATTTCAATCTTGATTGATTCTTTGATTTGTCTTGTTCAACTTCTTGATTGATTTCCTTCTACATAGGAAGGATTATATGTCTATCAGTATCTTACGAATAAAGACTCGTTCTTGACATTGTTTATCTTTGGGCACATAACGGATTAAATCAAATTGACACATTAAGGGGCTGTTTGTTTCAGCCTCTTAATGGTTCAGATGTTTGAATGACTCAGCACTTAATGGTTCAGACTATTTGTTTCAGCCTCTTAATGGTTTAGATGTCTGAATGATTAAGACATTTGCCTCTGAATGGTTAAGTATTATACAGAGTCTGAATGGTTAAGACCTCTTATCTTAATTGATTAGACATTTTCCTCTGAATAGTTAAGCAATATACTAGCTCTTAATGGTTCAGACCTCTTACTGGTTCAGCACTTAATGGTTCAGACTTCTTACTGGTTCCCTTACATATTCAGAAGTTGCCAAACAGCCCCTAAGCATTGCTTCTTTCTTACTGTGAAGTTCTGGGTACTGGGTAGTAAATTCAGCAATGCATCTAGGATCTAACTGAAACACTCTATTTTTATTGGGGTAAGACTGCGTACATCTTACCCTCCCCACCCAAACCCCAGACCTCAACAGAGTTGGGATTATACTCTGTTGTTGTTGTTGTTGTTATATCTTACCATAGTTACCAAAATACCTTATTTTTTGGACAGAAGCAATACATTTCAATACTCCGTAGGTGCTGCTCATGTTTTCCAAATATCTAAAATTCTGAATGCGGTTTATTAGGCAAAACCTAACCTTGTTGCACATTGATACACTTTTTCTTATAGACAAAGCTAGTACTTTTAATTGGTCTGTTTCCTACTTGACTATATGTATCCTTGTTATGTATCCGGGTAACTACATTTAACAGGTTTAACTTTTTTGACATATTTCTTTATTAAAAAACATTTTATATGATGAAAATTAACAGCTTTTCCTTAAATTTGATTCTTTATATGGGAGAAAAATATTTGGAGAAATAGGAGTCTTTTTATGGGACATAGGGAGTAGTATATTTTAATGGATTCTGGTTGCCCATGGTTGATCCTTTAACAAATCTACATTGACAAAAACATCAGTGGTCATCCATCTTAAAATTCCAGGAGTTGTGTGTAATATTAGGTGATGTCTATGTCCTACTTTCCTAGACCTTATTCCACAATCGGTTCAATTCAGTGCAGTGCACTGTAAGTATTCACCTAAACACAGGAAAGTATCCAATTGAAGTAACTAAGCTCGTAAAGACATCAAGAATACAAGATGAGTGACTTGTAATATTGCGTGATTGCCAAAGATGCTAAGAGACATGTAATATTTCTGAGCCGATACAAGCCAGCCAAACCTTTATAGGGCTTTTGGGTCATATCTAAAATGCTAGGCCTTGGGCTGACTCCATTGTCCCATCAAGTAGCTACTTCAATTTTGCATTAAAAGTTTAATAAACATTTATTTCGTGACGTGGTTCTTAGTATTTTCAAATTAACGTGAATGATATTTGCTTGTATGGCTTTGTGATAGCCATGCACTGCTGTTTATATGGGAGGTAGTTCTTTTGTAATTTCTACAGCAATATGCATGCAATGGTCTTCATCCTGGTATTGGCTGTTTACGATTGTGAGTTTGTTGTTGAACTTCAATCATCAATCATGAGTAATTTACTCCTTCCGTCCCAAAAAGAACTCCTCACTTCTCTACTTTCTCTCTTAGGAGGTAGCTCTTATCCTTTCTCCATCCCCAAAATTAATTTCAACCACGCTTTACTTTTCACCAAACACCTTTTATTTCTCAATGCTTTTCTCAAACTCCGTGAAGTCAATTGTCAAGTGCTTTTAGGGATGGATGGAGTATCAGAGTATTAGATGCCTTGCTTTAGATTCGTTGTTTACAGAGAACAAAAACTGCAGTTTTCTGATGAGCTTTTTTTTCCCTTTCTAGAACTGTGAGAGGCCATATGACTCCTTTCAGATCAGATCCACAAGAATCCATATAAAGTTAGCTGCCGAGTGGCGTAGAAATAGTTCCTCGAACTATATTGCTGTCGTTCTCATTGTGTTAATCATTCATATTTTGCAGGACCCCGCTGTTGCACGTGTTGAGGACTATCAGGTGGATAATGCTCCTGCTGACCTCAAGCAAGACAAAGTTAATAGCTGATCAAGTGTTAGTTTTCTTTGCCAGACAACTGCTAGTTTTATCTCTTACCAAGAGTTTGCGTGTCTGGGAGTGGGACACATTTGTAGTTTTATTATCAAGGCATGGCCAGTAGGCCGTTAGTAGTCGTGTGTAGTAGAATGCGGGTTTAACAAGCCTCCCCGGCGTGCTAGAAATGGTAATGTGAATGACTTAGAACTGGCCTTTCAATATGTTTTGTTTAATGACCAAGTGATCTAGTTCATGCATGTTTATGTTCTTTCACGGACAAGTGAATGCTTTTTGTTCATCTTTCAATCTCTGTTCTTGTCGGCAATCACTTGCTCGCTCCGTCCTATATACCACCATCTTTGTTTTATTTGTCTGGTTTTTGATGGATTTTGATACTCGATTAAATAAAAATTGTATTACATATTATAAAAATGATTTAATTAGATTTATCTTGTAAAATATTTTTGAAAGATTAATTTATTTTATTAATATATTTTGTATAAAGTAATACTCTCTTCGTCTTTGTGTATTTGTTACGTTTGACTTTTTTTAGTCAAACATGAAGAAAGTTAATTACTCTAGTCACAATTTGTATTACATATTAATACAACAAAATAAAATTTTATATTGATATACAGTACATGATTGTTTTTATTTAATTAACATTCAAAGTTCATCTAGTTTAAGTAAAATAATTCAAAGTTCACATATATTGTATTTCTTTAATTTGATTGTCAAAGTTGGTTAAGAATGTAAAAAGTCAAATTGGACAAAAGCTTTGGATGGTCGGAGTACTCCGTATTTCTTTACTCTCTTTTTAGGTTGTTTTATACCGAATATATACTCTCTTCAATAGCGACTAAATTATTATTACCATTGTCTTAGCGTATTTATCTTGATGGATACTCGGGAAGCGGCCTAGCCCAACCGTGCCAAGGCCCACCTAGCTGGGCAAGGGCAAGAGGAAGCTAAAGCTTTAGGAAGGCAACCTTTGCATTAGGTCACACTCGGCCTCGGCAGGGTTGGTTGTCCTCGGACCACCCTCGGCCGGCCTTTCATCAAAGGACTTCAGGGAGCAGATCATGCGCACTCGGCCTCGGCCCAAGGCGTCAGCAAACCAGACCCAGACATAGAAGCTGCCTAATTAGTCAAGATCAAGGGGCCCACGATTGGACCCCTGCCATACCTCTGGCAGAGTTGTTCTAGCCACCCTATTTGTAACCTATTTTGTATAGCAGCCCTAGGGATAATGATGTGGTTAGGCGCCGCCAGTGAACAACCCAATCTTAGTGGGCCCGAACCGTTGGACTCCGGACCAACGGTCGGGAACTCTCTTTTGTAATTCGCATATAAACCCTTTCTAGAGGAGGGGGGGAGTTACGTTCTGACTAGCATAATAATACTTGCAATCTACTTGATTCCCAATTTGTGTACTCTCGACTCAGTTCGATACTTTTCCGCCTAGTCTCCTAGGTCCCGGGTTCCTTAACCCAACATATCTAATTAGACTTTTTTTTACTTAAAGTAGACGAATTTAGAGTTTCAATTAATATTAATTTACATTGCATATTAGCATTATATGATAAAATTCTTAAAGTTTTCAACAAAATAAATCTAATTAAATCATTTTTATACAAATATATATTATGATTTTTATTTAGTTAAAACTCAAAATTCATCTAATTTGACTCAAAAAAAGTCAAAATGAACATAAAAAAAAGTAATAAATGGCCTTTTTGCCCTTGGATATTTTAATAGTTCGTATTATTTTCACCATCCACCCATAGTCATCCCATTATTTTAATCGGTACTGCCTCTACCGTTTTGGGCTTTAAAATTTATTGGCGCTACAGAATTCCGACACGTGGTGTAGGTGAAGATCTAAGGAAGTAAAATCAAACCGTACAAGCAGTACCGTTCAGGTTAAAAACCTTTATCCTCTTCTTTCAGCTTCAATTTCTCCCACCCCCAAAAACGCATTGAGATTGGAAGGGAAGAGAGAAGCTAGATCCTGTCGGCGTCGCAACCGTTCATAGCTCGTCGCCGCCTCGCCGGTCCGCCAGCATCGCCACCGCTCGTCATTACAACGGTAATACATTTACCGTTCAAGTCCAATTTTAATATTATATCTTCAATTTGATATTGTTATCTATTTTATCTTCAATTTGTTTAAAATTTTGGAACTCCAATTTAATTTTCAATGTATATTATCCTTAGTTTCTTCAAGGCTCTGTTCGAAACCTGGAAAGTGACTGGTGGAAAATGACTTTTGAAAAAATGAGTTATTTTTCAGAATTTATTTTCCTTTTCTATTGTTTGGCTAGAATTCTCAAAATTGTCTGTTTTTGTTTTGTTCATTTTCTGGGAAATAAATATTGAAAAATGAATATTCCAAAATGACTTAATAACACTCTAAGCATATTTAAAAATTTTAACACATTCATCCCAAAAACATTAAAAAAACATCCATAAAAAAGTAGTAATACCGTTGCGAGCAGAGTGGAAGTTACAATTCAAGAATAAATACTCCAGTACCGCATTTCCATAGCCATCAAATTCGAAAAATACACTTTTTCAGCAGCATTTCGTTCAACTTATTTTTTCTGCTTATTACTTATTCTTATTATATTCAAATCAAATCAGATTAGATCAGATTAGATCAGATCAGAAACAACTTTATTTATAACTACAATCATATCAAATCTTCAAAAAATTTGATCAGATCAAATCAGACGAACGGAATGCAGCCTTAATCATCAAAATAAGCCATTAAAGTCTTAATCAATAGAGCAACAAAAAAACAGATCTAAAAGTAAAGAGGCTGCGAGGAACAAAAAAACTCAGATCTTGATTCCAAAATCCCTTATTGTTTTTTCTTGAGAAATTAAGTGTTTTTTTAAATGAAAAACTTACCTTTCCCATCGAAAAAATGCTTGCTCTGGAGACTAAGACTTTGAGTGGCGAATGAAGATGCACAGACAAAAGATGAAGAAAAGAAGAAAGAGGGGGAGGAGAGGTTGCGAGGAAGAGGGAGAAAAAAGAAAAACGATATGCTGAATGAGAACAAGGAAATGAGGCGAGGAAGAAATGACGGAAATTGTCTTTTAGAGTTTTTTCGGAAGTCAGTTTCAGAAAAAGTGGGTTCATTTTCTGCTTGACCAAAGGTTAATTTCCATTGACTTTTATTTTCCTATCTTGCCAAATAGTGGAAAATGAGGAAAATGACTTCCACAAGTCATTTTCTTGGTTTCCAAACAGAGCCTAATTTTTTTATATATGTTCTATTTTTTAATATAAGTTATCCAAAATTTTAATTTATACGGAGTATATTTTATTCTATCAATTCGTACCATATTATTGTTGTAGAAATTGTTTATTCTTTTTTAGAATTGTTTATTATCTTAAAATATAGAATGATTAAATATTTGTGATTCTTAATTTAATTATGCATTTTTATAATACACCGATTATTATATGATTTTGCATGTTTAAAAGAAAACATATTTGTAATTGTAGAAAATGGATTTGCGAAGGACGAACGTTCATCCAGGACCAATTAATAATGATGTACTAGTTCTAGGACCCGGCGAGCATCGATGTGATAAAGTGTGGCAAGATCGAGCGTTCGCGGATGTTCCGTTGAAATGCGTTAAGTATTATGGTAGCTTGCGTGAAGGGTTGGGGGTGGACCGTCATAGACGTGTTACGGGGATTCTGCGAGAGTACGGGTTTTACGGAGTGGAGAAGATTTCTAAGTTACAGATTGATTGGGCTCTGATTACTACCTTAGTGGAGAGATGGCGGCCAGAGACCCATGCCTTTCATCTTCCATTCGGTGAGGTCGGCATCACATTACAGGATGTCGAGGTTCTTCTTGGTCTCCCCGTGAATGGCACTCCTGTGGTTGGTTCGGCAGAAAGGACGAAAGCTTACTGGGTGCAGCTGTGTGAGGATATGATGGGTTTTAGGCCTGATCTAGCAGACTTGACGAAGACGCAGATCAAAATGACTGCGATTACATTCATTGGGCTCACTGAGCATAGCGTCGAGGTCGACTTTATGCAGCATACGCGGGCTCTGATGCTGAAGATTATGGGTGGAGCCTTATTTGCCAGCACGACTGGTAATAAAGTGAACTTATGCCTGATTGAGTTATTAATGGGTACGGCACAGGAGGTGCGGAGTCGGGCCATAGGCGCAGCTGTATTGGCCTGCCTGTATCGTAACTTGTGCAACGCGGCTCTTGCTAACACCGCACAGATCGCAGGCCCACTGGTTTTACTACAAGTTTGGGCTTGGGAGCGCATCCCGATGTGTAGACCACAGGGCATGTTACTCCCTCAGGACGTCGCGGGAGCGGCGTACGGTGCTAGGTAATGTTTTCTATACAATGTTATTCATTTAAATAGTAGAATAATAGTGATATGGAAATTTTATGTGCAGATGGGTATGTTCTCATCGATGGACATCGTCGTCTGCTCATTCAATTAGGCCATACCGAGACCAGCTTGATAGACTTCAGGAGAGCGAGGTATAATCATACACTCAGACCCAAATTTAAGATGTTTATTATTATTAATGTAAATATTGTTATGCGTATTGGTTGTTGCTTATGTTTGCAGTTCATTTGGACACCTTATCCAGAGTTGCATCACTTGCACCCAGACTGCTATGCCGGGATAGGAGTGTGGCGAGCACGTGTTCCATTGATTTACACGTACATGGCGGAGATGCATTACCCGGATAGGTTCTCTCGTCAGTTTGGTGGACTCCAGGATATCCCTGAGGCAGTGGAGTATGATCGTGCTTTGCACTCCCTCAGAACTACAACAGGAAACATGGCTCCAAGAATGGTACATTTGGTTGCGAAGTGGGAAGCGCGACATCAGAGTTTAGTAGAGTTTGACCTCAACCATGCCGGATTCACTGCGGCATATCGCCATTGGTATTACTTGCATTGTAGACGGCTGATTGGGAACCCAGAGCATCGTGCTGATTTTGTACCTGGATACGTGCCGATTAGTCCAGACATACATTGTTTGGTGCGTACTACTATTTGTTGCTAAAATTCATGTATTGTTCATGATATTTATACAATTTATTATATGTTGCAGTTATTCAGTATGTTGGACATTGCTCGAGTCTCAGATCTTGATCTTCTTGGCCCAGCTCCGGATCTGTACGCACTAGCGCATGATGTGCACAAGCGAGCAGTGCAGTCTATCAAAGCCGCGGGGTATGGCCAGATGCTTTCGCACCCAACTGAAGCACCAGTGTATGACCCGGTTGTAGTACCTCGATGGCATGATAGACGTCGTGATTCACCGGCGCGTGGCAGACCCCCCCGAAGACAACGACAAGAGAGACAGGCTGACATTGAAGACAAAAAGATCCAGGACAAGCTGATCAAGGACGAGGTCGATGCATACATTGTTCCAGGACAACATCATGATAATCACTCTGACTCCTAAATATATTTTTACGTATGTAGTTCGTGGAGATTTAATATTTTAAGGAGCTTTTAGAATTTATAAGTTGTGCCTTAAATTTCATGTTAGGTAGTGTTTGGCAACTAGCATTTCATTTCAATTCATGCATTTCAATTCCAAAATTTGAAATCTTGAATTTCAAATGACAAGGGGAGGTGTATGGATTTCAAATTAAACTTTGTTTTGAATGTAAAGAATTTGATTCAAATCCAAATTCAAAATGCTTAAATTTCCCAAACATGGAATTTAAGTCAAATCCGGATTTGAAATCCAAATCCATGTTCCCAAACATACCATTAATGAATTTTTTTCTTCTAAGAATATCCATTCAATTTTGATTTTTTAATCTTGAACCTAATTTAATAAAATCTTACACCTAACTATACCTAATAGAGCCACACCGATCGAGTTCAAGATGAGGTTCACGATAAAGAAAAAATAGCAACTACATAGCAGGACGACATGGAGGAAGAACTACAGAGCTACCACCACCAACAACAAGAATGAGGAACACATAATTCTCGTGGGATGAAGCAGGGCCGTGTAACACCGCACTAGATGTAGACGATGAAAGCGACCCTGACCATCCCACTTTTGTTGGTAATTCCGATGATGGGAGTAGTTCTTTAGATGAGTCAGAAGTATCTGGATGGGTCTCCATGTGCACGCCGGACGTGTATATAGATGAGCGTACGTACATTGGTTATCTTGTACAGGTTGTACTGCCGATTTATAGGAACGTTGAACAAATATCTCTAGAGCCGATGTTCAGTGTCCTTGAGATTGAAATAGGCCAACATTTCGCTGATTTTCAAAACCTTGATATTTGCTGTCTCTTTGCAATATTGCGGATCATAGACAATTTCGGAGTTCTTCGAAGCATCAAAATTATTGGCTTGCAAAATGTTCGCACCCACAGCAGTGCCCATGGCTCATTCAGGCTGCAAAATCTTCCAATTCTTCTATTTGATAAGCTTATCACGAGCGAACTCATTTGTGGAATGATCTTCTCAAAAATTACAAATGACGCAGATTAGAAGGTTACGTATATCGTTAAAGATGTATACGACTTATTTTGGGTAGCTATAACGTACAAGATATGTTGGTTGGCCAAGTTGATTGCTATTCATGAATTGTACAAGTCATGGTAGAATTCGTATAACAAATTATAATACCCCGAAATATACTCTAAAAGTTAATAATGAGTTTGTAACGCCCCACAAACCAGCCTAATAGTTAGCCAATATTTTGAATAAATAAATATTATTCATTTATTGGGACTCATTATTTTAAAATAATAAATATTGAGATTTTGATCTCATTAGATGGACTTCAAAAGTTAATGTATTTTAATTATAAAAAGATGTTTTAAATAACGAGCCTCTCAATATTAATTAATTAAATAAATTAATTAAGGGATGGACCCGGATGTTTGAGAATAAAGTTTTCAGTAAAATAGTTTGAAGTTATAATAAATTTAGTTTTGACTGTTTATTTCCAAAAACGCATTCGGTTTTCAATTCGGGCAAGTTCGGGGGGGGGGGGGGGGGGGGAAA